GTATATTAGTGTGAAGTCATAATAGTTATAACAGTGCCTTTCATCGCGGGCGCATGGCTCGAAGCGATGCATGTCGCCAGAGTCATCGGACAAAGAAAATGAGATAGCTACTCCCTCAATCAAGCTGAGGGAGTTAAAAGCTCCAAAGCTCCATTCTCTGCAGCTTGACCGTCTATATTAACAATTTTTAAAAGAAAACAACATAGTTGTAAAAGTAAGGTTGCCCCTAACCTCAATGCAGCGAGGAAAGACCAGTCTTCAACGCCTCTAGCGGAAGCGTCAGGAAATGTGAGAAATGCAACGAATTCTGAAGGGATATCGGAACAATGGGAAAATCCGAAGAAATCGAATAAAGTCGCCAATATAAAGGGGGATTCATCCTCTGACATCCCTAGCACGAGCAACAACCCATACAGCATTCTATCTAATGCTGAAGAAATGGATTTAGAAGATAATGCTGTAGAATCAGAAAACACGGAAAATAACTTAAGAAAAGTCTCAAAACCTCCCCCAATTTATACGGTAAATTCTGATATACAATCTTTGATAAATAGTATTAAATCAGCACAGATTCATGGCACAGATTCAAAGAAATTAATAAAAACAATCATACTATATATACACTGGGCGCCAAAATTAAAGCATCACTAAAATTTTCCGAAAATATTGGTCATTTTCAGATGCCTATATCTTCGCGAAAAATAGCTATAAAAACTATTGTAACAGAGCATTTTGTAGCCCGAAGTTTCTAGTTTTTGAATCGGGAATTCAAAAATTGTTTTTATGTAGTTTGTTCCTTTTTTTTTCAAGATGAAGCGCAGTAAGTGAATGTTAAAAAATGTTGGTCAAGTTTGAGAGGATGCATGGGTCAAATGAAATTTTTTCTGGTAATTCCAATGGAATACTTTTAAAAAGCAAACTTTTCTCTTTAATTACGTTTTTTTTAATTTTGTTGTACAGTTTTTATTGGCCGAGTTATTCGTCATCGTATGAGAAAAGGTACTTTCCACTTTGAGCGCCTGTAACTTGCGAACGCATGATCTTATAGAAAATTTCAGAAGTGATTTGGAAAGCTGAGAGATTTCTCTTTAAAGACCTTTAGTTGCCAATTTGTTGAAATTTTTGTTCGTCGTCTACAGTCCATTTCAAAATAACGTAAAATATTGCATAATTACCATTTTTCACAAAACACGATGCCATTTTAACAAAAATTGTGGAATCTTCCAGGTGTCTACGTTTTTTTTAAGTTCTAAGTACACGTAACCCCTGTACCAAAGGCCGCATTCATCAGAGTTTTTTTACCCTGTGCCCTCGATAGTGAAACTTGCGATACAGTCTGAAAAATTGGTGAATGACTCTTTTGCGATACGTTTCCTCTTTAAAACGATTTTGCAGCGTTTGAACTGTTGTGGTCTGTGTCTTCTTAGTTTCACTTTATTTTAGAGGAAAGTAGAGATGTCAGAAATTTAGCAAACACATTTTTAAACAATCTCTTCGCAATGACAAAA